CTTGAGCCACAGGCGCCGAGCCAGCCATATGCATTTCTTAATAGTTTTGAAATGTACCATTGCATCATGCACATTAGTTGAGGTCCCTCCCCCCGAATACCTTCCTTCCTCCTATATCCCCCCTCTCTCTCCTCTTACTTTCTACTTTCTGGACTATAGTTATGTTTTGCCATTCATGAGTATGTAGGTGGTTATATATTGATTTCATAGTAATATTGAGTACATTGGATACTTTTTCCCCATTCTTGAGATACTTTACTAAGAAGAATATGTTCCAGCTCCATCCAGGTAAACATAATAATAATACTGCATAGTATTCCATGGTGTATTTATACCACAATTTGTTAATCCATTCATGGGTCAATGGACACTTGGGCTATTTCCATGTCTTGGCTATTATGAATTGGGCTGCAATAAACATTCTGGTGCAAATGTCTTTGTTTGTATCTGGAGCAGACCTGGGCAAGAGTCAGAGCAGGACTGGAGTGAGGGCTGGCATGTCTGAAGAAGAGGAGAATTGTGGGGTTTGGAGCCAACTTTAGCCATGTGAGTCATATAGCATGTTGGCCAAAGCAGAGGATGTCATCTGGGGACATGCAAACATGGCAGATAGGGGAGGGGAGAAGGAGGGTAGGGGCAAGCTTCTCACTCTCCACTCAGTACACAGGGAGAGCTGTGTAGGGATCTGAAGACCAGAGAGTGGGCCCTCCTCCTGCCCTGTCCAAGATTCTGGTGCCCTGACGGTGTTTCCATTCAGAGCTGAAAGGTCTCCTCCCTCTTTTTCTTTTCTGCAAAGAGAAGGCAGCAGTTTAGAGGCTGGGTAGGACAGTGATTAAGCACAGCTTCTGGTGCTAGCTTCCTGAGTTCAAATCCTGTCTCTGCAGTGTGACTTTGGGTGAGTTGCTTAACTTCTCTGTGCTTCAGTTTCCCCAATCTGTAAATGGGAGTCATAATAATAATTCCAACCCTACAGGGTTTTATGAAGATTAAATGTGTTAATGTAAATAAATGACTCAACATGGTGCCTGATCAGTGCTTTGTAACTGTCAGTTATGGTGATGATGATGGTGGTGGTGGTGGTGATGATGATGGAATAGTAACCAAATCAAAGCCTTGGTTTTTTTAGTCCCGAAAATTCTTGGGACTAATGAGGTTTGTTTCCCTGACTCCCATAGTGAGCTCCCAGAGTCCTCTCTCCTTCTTGGTGCCCTAGGCTGGGAATTATAGAGTCCCATCATTTCCGATTATTTCTACAGCCCCTCTGTTCTCTCCTACAGGACCAATGCAGTCACCTCCTCCCTGATCTTCTGGCTTCCATCTCTACCCTCTACAGTATGATTCCTCCACAGTGGTCAGAGGGAACCTATGCAAACCTGTGCTAGGTCATGTCCTTCCTCTGCTTAGAAGCCTCTATCGTTCCCACTTACGCAGAGCAAAAGCCAAAGTCCTTACTGTGGCAAACAGGTCCCTATTTTTTCCCACCATGTCTCCCACTCTCTCCTAAAACTCTACCCCTTGCTTCTCTGTGGCCATGCTGGCCTTCTCACTGTCTGTCAAACACAGTGAGCTCCTTTCTGTGTCAGTGCATTTGTGCCTGCTGTCCCACCTAGCTGGAGGCTCTTCTCTTAGATTCTTCTTCTTCTTCCATTCTTTTTTTTGAGACAGAATCTCACTTTGTTACCCTCCGTAGAGTGTCATGGCATCACAGCTCACAGAAACCTCAAATTCTTGGACTTAAGCTAATCCCTTGCCTCAGCCTCCCAAGTAGCTGGGACTACAGGCTCCTGACACAACACCCAGCTATTTTTAGAGACAGGGTCTCACTCTGGCTCAGGCTGGTCTCAAACCTGTGAGCTCAGGCAATCCACCCACCTCGGCCTCCCAGAGGGATTACAGGCATGAGCCACCATGCTCAGCTCTTCTTTTTATAGAGCCAGGATAGCTGGGACTACACATGTTCAAAATTAGCTGGCTGATTTTTCTACTTTTTTGTAGTTATGGGGGTCTTGCTGGGACTACAAGCGTCTGACACAATGTCTGACTATTTTTAGAGATGGGGTCTCGCAGTATCTGAGGCTGGTCTTGAACTTCTGACCTCAAGCAATCTTCCTACTTTAGCTTTCCAAAGTGCTGGAATTACAGGTGTGAGCCACTGTGCCCTGCCTCCCTCAGATTCTTCACGGCTCATTCTCTCCCTTCTTTCTTGTCTCAGAAAAAATGCCACATCCTCAGAGAGCTTTCCCTGGATGTCTCACAAGCCTCTATTACATCTTCCTACATTATTTTGTATGGTACTTATCATCACCTGTTATTATGCTATATATTTATTTGTTTAAATTGTAGATTTATTTATTTAGTTTATAAATTGAATAATAGTATTGGCACAGTATATTGCAATTTATGTATTATTATTTATGTCCTCCCACTAGAATGTAGCTCCTAGAAGAAGAAATTATTTTCTTTTCATGCCTATGCTCCCAGGGCCAACAAATGATTTGGTTCACTAAATATTTGTTGAATGACTGGATCAAGCAATAAACGTTCTTACTAAACAATATTCAAAATAAAATAGTAAAGGAGAAGGATTGGGCATCCCTGGGTCCAGGCTTACCTTCTGGGGTACTCTGGAGAGTCACATTCAGGTACTACAGGTTGCAGGTGTCCTCCCAAGACTCTGGGGACTTGTGGTACATGGTCAGGATCTGCCAGGGAAGAGAAGGAGAGGGGGTGTCAGAACTCATCTCTACTCACTCCCTTTATTCCACACTCCAGTCTTGGGAGTGCCCAATTCTCTGGCCGGGTAGGGATTTCACTGCAAGATTGGTCCCTTTAATTTCTAGGTGCAGTGGCCTGAAATCTCTAGAGTATTTCAGGAAATCTCTAGAGCTCTGTGTAATAGAACTTTCTGCTTCAATGTGAATGGTTTCTATCTATGACAGCCACTAGCCACCTGTGACTGTTGAAGACTTGAAATGAGGCTGGTTCAATTGAAAAAGTGAATTTTGAATTTTCTTCAATTTTAATCATTTAAATTTAAATCTCACTAAGGGCCAGGTGTGGTGGTTCATGCCTGTAATACCAGCACTTTGGGAGGCCAAAGCAGGAGGATCACTCGAGGCCAGGAATTTGAGACCAGCTTAGGCAACATAGCAAGACTCTGTCTCTAAAAGGCTTTTATTTTTTTTATTTTTTATTTTTTTCTTTTTTTTTATTGAACGGTAACTATGTACATTAATGCACTTCTGGGGTACAGTGTGGGGTTTTCACATGCAATCTGAAATACTTCCATCAACTGGTCAACACAGCCTTCATGTCATTTTCTCAGTTATTGCTTTAAAACATTCACATTCTACTCTTAGAAAGATTCACCTGTACCCCTATAAGGTAAACCTCAGAAGTAATCCCTCCAAACTCCCTCCCTCCACCCATTACCCCCTCCCTTCTCTAAAAGGCTTTTAAAAAATTAGCCTTGGCTCGGTGCCTGTGGCTCAAGTGGCTAGGGTGCCAGCCACATACACCTGAGCTGGTGGGTTCGAGTCCAGTCCAGCCTGCCAAACAACAATGACGGCTGCAACCAAAAAATAGCTGTAGTTCCAGCTACTGGCACCTGTAGTTCCAGCTACTTGGGAGGCAGAGGCAGGAGACTCACTTGAGCCCAGGAGTTGGAGGTTGCTGTGAGCTGTGATGCCACAGCACTCTACCCAGGGCGACTGCTTGAGGCTCTGTCTCAAAAAATAAAAATAAAAATAAAGAAAAAATTAGCCTCGTATGATGTTGTGCACCTGTAGTCACAGGTACTTGGAAGGCTGAGGTGGGAGGGTCACTTGAGCCCAGGAGCTCTAGGCTACAGTGAGCTGTGACTGTGCCTCTGCACTCTAGCCTCTAGCTTTCTCAAAAAGGGAAAAAAAATTCAATGAAGCTTAAGGAAGAAGGTGACTTGTCCAAGGTCACACAACAAAGACAGGGATTCAACCAGGACTCCATTGTCTGGAACAGGATAACAGGCAACCTTTTGGTCAGCAAAAGGGCTGCCCTCCGAGGCCATAGAGCAGGCGTCCTCAAACTACGGCCCACGGGCCATATGTAGCCCGCCTGGGACATTTATCCGGCCTGCCAGGTGTTTTTGCCGCCGCTGCCTGTCCTGCTTAGCAGCCGACTCGTCCCGGGGCCCGCAGTCCGGCCCCCCAACGGTCTGAGGGACAGTGAACTGGCTCCCTGTTTAAAAAGTTTGAGGACCCCTGTGCATAGGGATGGAACATATAATAGAAACACTTGCTCAGATTTTGGGTGAAGGGCAGAGTCATCATTGAAGCCTTCGGAGGTATCCTGGACAGAGAATCTTCTCTTGGAGGATCAAGGAAAGGAGTTACCCCCGAGAGAATCAGGATAAGGGAAAAAAAGAGATCCAATGGCCTCTGCCCCCCCTTCCCTGACTCTTAATTTGGAACAACTGAGGAGCATTCTGAGCTTTCATTTCTCTAGAAACCAGCCTAGACAACATAGCAAGACCACTTACCAAGGTGGTTTTGAAGTATCCTTAGTTTGGTTCCGAGCAAATAATAGTGCCCCCAATTATAGCTAAAATTACTGCTGCAAATCCTGTCTTGGGGTCTAGGACTTGCTCCTACCTGCATCAACTAGGAAGGCCCAGGGATCCAAGTAAGGATCTCGAGAGTGGGTGTGCAGTGGTCTGAATGGTTTTGTTCCCCTCCCCCAATCTATATGTTGAAACCCAATCACCAATGTGATGTATTGGGAGGTAGGGTCTTAGGGAAGTGATTGTATCATAATGGTGAAGTCCTCATGAATGAGATTAGTGCCCTTACAACAGAGACCACAGAGAGCAGCCTTTGCCCCTTTATTATTTTAAAATAGTAATCATATTATGGGAGAGGATATGGCAAGAAGGTGCCATCTATCAACCAGAATGCAGGCACTCAGCAGATACCAAATTGGCTAGTGCCTCCATCTCCGACTTTCGGGTCTCCAGAAGCGTTAGCAATAGATTTCTGCTTTATATGCTACCCAGTTTATGCTATTTTGTTACAGCAGCTGAATGGGCTAGGATACTGAGATAGCAGACCTACCGAGATGGTTCCTCTCCCACTGCCGCTGGCTTTGATCTCTAGGTCATCCTGGGCAAAGAACTAAAGAGGAGATAGAGAAGGATTTAGGGCTGGAGGAAGCTGCAACGTGTGAGTCAGGAGAAAAGCACACACAAGCACTGGGGTCTTGCTATTTCCCTAACTTAGGATCTGCTGATTCATCCTCCACCTCACCCCCTCTGTCTTCCTCTTCCTCTTCCTCTTCCTCTTCTTCTTCTTCTTCTTCTTCTTCTTCCTTTTTTTCCCCCAAGGCAGAGTCTCACTGTCACCCTAGAGAGAGTGCCATGCATCAGAGCTCACAGCATCCTCAAATTCTTGGGCTTAAGTTAGTTTTTTTTTTTTTTTTTGAGACAGAGCCTCAAGCTATTGCCTTGGGTAGAGTTCCGTGGCGTCACAGCTCACAGCAACCTCAGCCTCCCAAGTAGCTGAGACTACAGGCACCCAGCACAATGCCTGGCTATTTTTTTTGTTGTAGTTGTCATTGTTATTTAGCAGGCCCCAGTGTACGTGGCCGGCACCCTTCACCGCTGAGCTATGGGTGCTGAGCCTACTTTTCCTTCTTTGTAGAGCATCTGTGGTGTTTACATTCTCAGAGATCAACTGAGATTGCTGACTCAGGCTGTATCCTCATAGGCATCTCCTGGATCTGTCCCCTTTGCACATCTCTAAGAGGAAGCCCTGCAGACTTGTCACTGGCATCTGTATCTCATCACACTTTTATCATCTAGAGTGAGATTTTTAAAAATCCAGTCTTCACATCACCCTTGCTAAAATCCTATTGCCTAAAGGGTCAAGTCCTGAATTTTTGCATGACTTCCCCAGCCCTCAGTGCTGCTCCTGACAGGCTACTTACTGTCTTGTATTCTCCCTACAAACCACTTCTGTATCTTGCTCAGGGCCTCCGCTCTATGCTTTCCCCTATATGCCTAACATTCTTTCCTACTTCTGCTTTTTTCATCTTGACAACTCCTTTTCATCCAGGTATCTTTATTTATCTTTATTTATTTTTTTTGAGACTGAGTCTCAAGCTGTCGCCCTGGGTATAGTGCCGTGGCATCACAGCTCACAGCAACCTCCAATTCTGGGCTTAAGCAATTCTCTTGCCTCAGCTTCCCAAGTAGCTAGGACTACAGGTGCCCACCACAATGCCCGGCTATTTTTTTGTTATTGTTGTTGTGGTTGTCATTGTTGTTTAGCAGGCCCAGGCCAGGTTAGAACCTGCCAGGTTGGTATATGTGACTGGTGCCCTACCCACTGAGCTACAGGTGCCGCCCAGGATTTTTTTTGGTATCTTAGATTTGGCTGTATTCCTAGCACCAGAACAGTATCTAATAAATGGTAAGTGCTCAATAAAGATGTGCCAAAGGGGCTCGGCGCCTGTGGCTCAAGCGGCTAAGGCGCCAGCCACATACACCTAAGGTGGCGGGTTCGAATCCCCAGCCCGGGCCCGCCAAACAACAATGACGGCTGCAACCAAAAAACAGCCGGGCGTTGTGGCGGCCGAGGCAGGAGACTCGCTTGAGCCCAGGAGTTGGAGGTTGCTGTGAGCGTGATGCCAGGGCACTCTGCCCAGGGGGACAGCTTGAGGCTCCGTCTCAAAAAAAAAAAGATGTGCCAAATGGGCAGGGCCTGTGGCTCAGTGGGTAGGGCGCCAGCCCCAATACCGAGGGTGGCAGGTACAAACCAGGTCCCGGCCAAACCGCAACAAAAACATAGCTGGGCATTGTGGTGGTCGCCTGTAGTCCCAGCTACTCAGGAGGCTGAGGCAAGAGAATCACCTAAACCCAGGAGTTGGAGGTTGCTGTGAGCTGTGACACCACAGCACTCTACCGAGGGCAACAAAGTGAGACTCTGTCTCTTAAAAAAAAAAAAAAAGGATGTGCCAAATGATTGAAGCTTAAACGACATCTACTTCATGGACTGAAGTCATGGAAGTTATCTTTCTGCTCACACCCAAATAATTTCTCCCTTTATGCATACTGTCTCTTTTCCTGTGTTAAGAAAAGTTAAAATGTAACATATCTAGTGCATTGCTTTCTTTCTACATTGTGTTATATATTCCATAAAGACTGGGACCATGGATCATTCATAAGGTATCCCTGATGCCTAGGAGAGTTATTGGCTCACATCACAGTAGATACTAAAGAAATGTCTGCGAATTGAGAGTATAGCCACATGACAATGATTATGAGGTAATCTTGGGGAGTGAGATTGGCAGGGACACGACTTGTGGCCATATCTGCAGTGCCACCTCTATGTGGGTTCCTATCTGCCTCTCAGTGCCATACCTGTGCTGAGTGACATACCTCTCAGTGCCATACCT